ATGTTATAATTTCTGCTTTGGGCACTCATATGTGTTTTTAAAAAGTTAAGAGAAGACAAGATAATATATTTATGTTATTATATGTAGTTTTATTTATCTATATCCTTGCCATTCCCAGTGCTTTTTGTTCCTTTCTGTGAACGGGTTGCCATCTGGCATCATTTTCTTTCAGTCAGAAGGACTGCCTTTAGTTTTTCTTGCACTGTAAGTCAGATAGAAACAAATTCTCTCCAGTTTTGTTTAACTGGAAAAGTATTTATATCAACTCCATTTTTCAAGGATAGTTTTATTGGATAGTGAATTCTTAGGTGATAGTTCTTTTGTTTTTTTAGCATTTCAAATATATCATTCTACTGCCTTCCATCACTATTGTTTCTGATGAGATGTCAACCATTAATCATATTGTTGCCATAAATATGTTGCATTATTTTTTTCTCTTGCTGCTTGCAAGATTATACCTTTTCTTTGACTTCCAACATTTGGTCCCTGATGTCGAGGCGTGGTTCTCTTTGTGCTTATGTTATATTGGGTTCATGCAGTTTCATGCCTGTCCCAGTTGGTTTGGGCTGTTGTAGCAAAATAGCATAGATGGGTGGTTTATAAACAACAGAAATTTATTGCCCACTGTTCTGGAGACTGGGAAGTCCAAGGTCAAGGTGCCAGCAGACTTGGTGTCTGGTGAGGACCTGCTTCATCGATGGCTATCTTTTCACTCTCACCTCACATGGTGGAAGGGAGGACGGAACTCTCTCAGGATTGTTTTATAATGGCACCAATTCTATTCTTTTCCAGGGAAATACAACTGAGAGATTATATTTCTTTCCAGCTTACATGAGGCTTCATGCTCATGACCTAGTTTCTACCCAAAGGCTCTTCCTTCTAACATCATCACTTTGGGCCTCAGGTTTCAACATATGAGTTTGGGGGAGGACACAGCATTCAGACCACAACGCTGACTCTTGAAATCAATGTTATTCACTAACACTGGAGAATTTTCCATTGTTTTTTCCTCAAATAATTTTTCTGTGCCTTTTTTGCTTTCCTCTCTTTTGGGACTCCTATTATATTTATTTTGAATGTTTTACATTGTGTAGCCTTAACTTTTATTGCTGTATCTTCAAATTCACAGCTTCTTCTTCTGCCATCTCAGATCTTCTGTTGAACATATCCATCGAATTTTTAATGTTAGTATTTGTAGTTTGCAGCTCTAGAAATTCCATTTGATTCTTTTTATAATTTCCATTTCTCTGTTGAGGTTACATTTCTGTTGATTCACTGTTAACATTAATTGTTATAATTCTTTAAGCATATTTTCCTTTTATTCTTTGAACCAAACTATAATCGCTTAGACTCAGAAGCTATTGACTCTTTTTTTCTGGGTGCAGTTTTCTGTTTCTTTGCATGTCTAGTAATTTCCAGTTGAAAATTGGACATTGTAGTGCAACCCAGATTTCTGATTTATTTTTCTGAAAGTGTTTGATTGCTTGATTTATGAACTGATCTGCATCTGAGTTGCAGTGTTGGTCTCCTCCATCATGTGTAGTAACACGGAAGTCACTGTGCCATTTCTGCTTTTAGTATTTTACTTTATTTTTTAGTCTGGCTCTCTAAAGTTGTCTCCTGTTTCTGCATTGTTTAATGGTTGGACAATTATTTAGACAGAGGCTATGTTCAGACACCTTGAACATATAAACTCCCCACTTTCTGGTACCCAAGCTATTCATAGTTGGAGGAACAAATTCAAATCTACAGGAAGTCCTCAGGTCTCCCTTGACGTCCACCTTCTGCTGCACCCCCGGGTCCCCCTGGCTCATGCATAGTTTAGCAGTCAGTCAGGGATGTGTGGGGAGTTTATAATATCTATCATTTCATGGCTGCCTAACTTCCAGGATTTCCCCCATCACATTTCGGGGTGATGATGTACCCACTCTGAACAGAGGTTATAACTGTTAAGAAGCTAAACCCGTAAAGCTGCAGTTTTTCACTTCCTGCCCAGAACTGATTCCTTGACCTCTGACTTATAAAACTGTAGGTTTTCATTTCCCCATCCCCGACCGAATCTGTCACCTCCAGCTGAGAAAGCTGCTGGTTTTCACTAATAGTCCTGAAAACATGCTCGCTGTTCCCACCTGTAAAGCCATGATTCTTGTTACCCAAGGGGTTGAGGGAGGGGTGGGGAGGAGGTGTAGATCCCCTGAGCAAGAAGATCACAGACTCATGGCCCTTTGGGTGCAGTAGCAATTTCTAAAGATTAAATGTTTTTCAGTTGGTTGTGTGCCTTTGGTCATTTTCCAGTGTCCTGAAATGGTAAGTTTTGACGACTTTGTCTAGTTTCATACTTGTTTTCTTCAGAAGGAAATCGCCCGACTTCTCACTCCACCGTTCCTGAAGTGAATCTTGGACTGGGTTATTTTAATGTTTCTTCCACTCAAATATTCTACTGCCCACAGCTTTTGGCCAAAATCAGAAATGTACTGGTGAACAGAGGCCGGTGAAGACACGTGGAAGCAGAGCTGCGAATTTTGCATAAGTCACCTCAAATGTTACAAAAATAAATGAGAAAGCCAGTGAAGCTGAACACGGAACTGGGGGTTTCAGAGCCTGGGTCGAGGCTTGGTGGAGCCCTGTGAGCTCTCTCTGAGGTTCCCCAACACAAGTGTCTACGAAGGACTCCCCGGGCCTCACCTCACCCATCTCGGCGCTTCGCATCCTCTTCCCCGGCCCTTTCCCCCACCTCCCCTCGGCCGCTCTGGTGGACTCTGTGACTCTGTCAGAGCCCAGACGGCTGAAATTAACTTTCTCTTCAACTCACCACCTGAAACCCAAGAGCAAGGTCATTTCCTTGTTCTTTTCTGAGTGACTGCAAGAATCATTTATAGGTTTTTCTTTTTTCAACCCCTCTCTGGAGATACACAGAAAGATGAAGTTTCTTCTTTCCAGACCACAACAAGCCAGCTAACGTGGAACCTCCCCTCTCTGTGAACGGAACTCTCACATCCCCTCACACTCTAACCTTAATTAAATAGATGAGCCAGAGTCAGAGGAAAAAGGGATTTTTTCCCCTTAGGAAGTTGGATTTTCTGCTTCCCACTATGTTCTTGGTGTCCTCAGGTCCAAGTGTATAAAAGTTGCCCAAAAGTCACTTATTTAGTCCCCACTAATAAAATCAGCAGACATACTTAGGCAACATCACTGGATCCTTGTTCAGGAAAAGGTTCGAGTTAGGCATCTGCCTATAAGCGTTTGCAGGATTCTTAGTCACAAATCAAGTTCAAAGCCATCTCCTTGGTAACTTCCCCCAATAATCCTGATGGAGTTGCTGCCCCTGCCTCTGGTTAAACACTGCTTTGTGGAGGCTGCCATGGCTGCACTTACCATAACCATCATAACCGTTATTTATATCTCTACCCCTAGCTGGGTGTGTGCTTACCGCAGACAGTCACAGAAGTTTCTTGTGCTAATTGAATCGATGTAGCAGGGCTGAACAATCCTATCTCAATTCAGTAAATTTTAAATTATAAGTTTAAGCAGTTCGAGAGTCTCTCAACTTAAAAGGAAGAAAACTGTACTTGAAAAATGATTAAAATACAATAAAAAAATTTAAAAAAGAGTCTCTCAACTTGTATTTAATGCTTAGGTCCAACTCTCAGGTGTCAAGAGATGAATACTGTAAAAAATTAATAGCCACAACTCACTGAGCACAGCTGGCTCTGGACACCGCTCTGGGCCCTTTGCTGCCAAGAACAGAAGAGACAAAGCTGTTTTAAAGATCAAGTTTGGGACTTTGATTAGGTATATCACCTTACCTACCAGTCCTTTGGAGCTTACTAAATTCTAAATATTATAACAAATACTTTTCCTGCATTGATCTATTCATTTTCACAAAAATCTTTTAGGGAAATGAAGCAAAATTTTCCAAGGAGCCTTAGAACTCAAGAACTCTATGTTGCTATGAGCATCTGTCAAAGGCCAAAGGCACTTTTTTTTTCAACCAGGAACTCACAATGAAATATTAAATCCAAGGAAAGAAATCCCATGGGGAAACTGAGATTGTGGACTGCAGTCTCAGGCCAGAGGTAGCAGCAGGACTATCTGAACTCCATCCCCCCAACGTCCCCAGACATAAAGGCAGGAGAGGATCCCACCCACTGGCTTCCTTTGGTCCATGTATCAGAAAGCAATGACCCCTCAATTTTTTTAATTTAATTTAAAAAAACAAAGTGGGTAACCAGCAGCTCACCTATCTGCCTGGGCCAGCAAGTCTCCTGAGGTCATCTGAGCAACATTCCTGGTCCCGTTGGTCCCTCGGCTGGTGGAGTCCTGGACAGCTGCTCTCCACTCTAGATGTGCAGGCCCTTCCCCCATGGCCTCCTTCAGTCTCTGCTCCTCTGAGTTTTCAGAGCCAAGTGAAGCATCTCTTTGAACTGACTCTAAGAGCAGAATCAATGGCTGGCTAAAGAGCTATAAAGCAACAACAAAAAAAACCCAGATACTAGCCATTGAGAGCCAATTCTGTGCCCTTCTCTCACACCCATGCTCTCACTCGTGCTCACAGTATCTCCCAGGCCAGGCATTATCAACAGCATTTGGAAAGGCAAAGCAACAAGCCTGAGAGACTAGATAGAGGCCCTGGCTCACACAGAAGGCACCAGGCGGTGGGTCCCAAGCTTTGTGCTGTCTTGCAGACAAATGCTGCAAAGCAAAGCAAAACACCTGACAGAGTTAGCTTGAAAGTTTACTAACTCTGCCAGGCTCAGGTAGGAAGAACACCACTCATGTTGGTAAACCAAATCCCCCTGAGAAAACTTTCTGGTGGCACAGGGATATTCTGACCAATGTGGCCCAGAGACAGAGAAAGACCAGCTGCTCATGGGCTGTTCTCGAGCAGCGGTGGCCATTGGACCCAGGGAACCCATGGAAGCTTTCAAAGTGCTTGAGAGGGGCGGGACTCCCCTGGAGGGGCGGGGCTCCTTGGGGGCGGCTGGTGCAGCTCTGACCACAGACTGGAGAGCCTGCCACCTCTGCCCAGTGCTTGTGGTGGGCAGGAAGCCACAAGCTATATGAACTGATTGAGACAGCTGAGATGGGCTTTTCCTTTAGGATTGCATCAGCAGTTGCTGGTTATAATTAGAGGGCCACTATACCACAAGGATGCTGGGATTCGAAGAGCTATGATGAAAAGCCACTGAGCATTGCCAAGGTAAGACTACATCTTCTGCCTTCTAGGCCATCTCACTTCCTTAAACTGTGCAAACAGTGCTGTAAGGCCCGTAGTTGGGAAGGCAGGCAGGAACGTTGCTATGGATGTTATAGACAGAGAGAGAAGACATTAATATGATCTGAGCCACAGCTATGGATAGATTGTTCCATCATTGGTTCATTTCAATTTTAGAGAGGTTGTTTTTTCTTTAATTATATTTAATTGATTATGCTATTAGAGTTGTCCTGATTTTTCCCCTTCTATCCCCCTCCACCCAGCACCCCCTACTCCCTCAGGCAATTTCCCTACCATTGTTCATGTCCACAGGTCATATGTATAAGTTCTTCGGCTACTCATTTCCTATGCTGTATTTTACATCCCCATGGCTATTCTGTGACTACTTATTTGTACTTCTTAATCCCCTCACCTCTTCATCCATTCCCCCATAATCCCCTCCCATCTGCCAACCATCTGGTAACTAACTTCTTTTTTCTTGCTGTTTTTAAGATTCTCTCTTTATCTGAAACATTTGGCATTTTAATTATGATGTGTCTTGGAGTGGGCCTCTTTGCATCCATCATATTTGGGACTTTCTGTGCTTCCTGGGCTTGCATGTCTATTTCCTTCACCAAATTAGGGAAGTTTTTTTCCACTATTTTTTCAGATAGATTTCCAATTTCTTGCTCTGCCTCTTCTCCTTCTGGCACCCCTGTCATGTGACCGTTGGACCTCTGGAAGTTGTTCCAGAGGCTGTTTATACTAGCCTCATTTTTTCGGATTCTTTTTACTTCTTGCTGTTCTGTATGGTTTGTGGTTTTTTTTTTGTTTGTTTTTTTATTTGTTTGTTTGCTTCCTTATGTCCCAAATCATTGATTTGATTCTCGGCTCCATCCACTCTACTATTGTTTCCCAGTAAATTGTTCTTTATTTCAATTAGTGTACCCTTCATTTCTGACTGGACCTTTTTTATGCTGCTGAGGTCCTCACTAAGTTCCTTGAGCATCCTTATAACCAGTGTTTTGAACTCTGCATCTGATGGGTTGCTTATCTCCATTTTGTTTAGCTCTTTTTCTAGAGTTTTGATCCATTCTTTCATTTGGGCCATGTTTCTTTGACTCCTCATTTTGGCAGGCTCCCTGTGTTTGTTTCTATGTATTACGTAGAGCTGCTTTGACTCTGTGTCTTGGTAGTGTGGCCTAATGTAGTAGGTGTCCTGTAGGGTCCAGTGGCATTGCCTCCCTGATCACTCAAGCTAGGTACTCATTGTGGGCCCTTTGTGTGGGCTCAGTACACTGTCCTTTTGTAGTTGAGCTTTGGTTGCTGTTGGCAGATCAATGGGAGGGATTTGCCCAGGTCAGTCAGTGGCAAGGATTGGCTGTGACCACTTACCACCAACCTCCACCCTCCATGGAGGATCAGCTGTTTAGGGGCAGGGTGGTGGTGCTCCTATATGGTCTGTAGCTGTCCACTGGGTATGCTGGCCCTGGGGATTTCCCGAGTGGTGCAGGCCAAGATCAGCCCCAACCTGTGTTTTGCCTGGGGCACCCAGCCTGAACTATAAAGCAATCTGAGGTGGCTGCTACTTAGGTTGACCTTAGAGATTCCCAAGCAAAGCCAAGCTATGATTCTAGTCTGTCTGCTGTGAGTGCTGGGTCTGGGCTCACTGAAGCCAGCTGTTTCTTACTTGATAAGATTTAAGAAGTTGTGAAGCCTGCATCAAGACCAGCCATTCTTATGAAAAACCAGCTTGGGTGGGCCCATAAGTTGGGTGGGCCCATAAGTTGGGTGGGGCAGAGTCTCTGGGGATCTTTACCAGCCTACAGGCTCTGTGGGGTGAGGGCTTATCAAAGGGACAATGGATAGGTGTGGCCCTGATGCCAGACACTTCAGTTTCTCCCTGTACACCACTGGTGCCTTTCAAGCTGCTACATTAGTGCTGGGCTCAGAAGGAGTGAGTCTGTGTGTGGGTTCTTTAAAAGGAACTGCTTAAGACTCCAGCAGTTTCTCTCACCAACTCAATCCCCACTGGTTTCTGCCCCCAGAAGTTGTGGGGACTTATCTTCCTGGCACTGGAACTCTGAGCTCGGGGGCCTGGTGTGGGGCTGGGACTCCTTGCTCCTGGGATATCCCTCCCGAATTTTTATCCACCCAGACCAGCTCTTCTATGTCTGTGCCCTTCCTACCAGTCTAGATAGGTGTGGTTTCCTTAATTCTGTAGTTGTCAAACTTCGGTTCCACTCGATTTTGGGATTGTCAGACTTCCATTCAGCTCAATTTCTGATGTTCCTAAGTGATGGTTGTTTCATATCTTAGCTGTCATTTTGATGAGGTTGTACAAAGAGGCAAGCCATGTCTGCCTATGCTGCCATCTTGCAGTGAATGCTCTCTCTCTCTCTTTTGATATGTGAAAGTTTATCCATTCAAAGTGGATCCTACTACAGAGGAAAGACAGACAAAGGTGTGGGCTGAGGATATGGCTGGGCACACACATGCCAGCCAGGGGGGATCTAAAAGTTACTCAGCCTCTCGAAGACAGAGGGTATTGCTAGCTACAGGGCAGAGCTGACAGAAGCTAGCTGTGATACATGGGAGTGTCTGGCTCAAGGTAAATGATGGGTTGTTGCTTTTGTTTCATTTTGTTTGTTTTTGAAAAGGTTTTCCATTTTTTAAGCATTCAGGGGTAGGGTGATGGAATAGGTTTAATGGTGATCTTTTTGTTTAAGAGATCTATCTGTACATTTATGGAAAGGAAAGGACAGCAGATAGCATATTTGTATTTTTTAAAATTCTAGGGTTTTGACAGCTTTTCCACTTATTTTCTACCTGGCCACTGCTTTTACCCTCAACTGCCCACATTGCCACGCAACTAAACAATTGCTGTATCACTGTGCTTCCATAGTTATAGGGAAGAATTCTGCATAATATATATGGAGATACTCCTCTCTCCTGGATGGGAGCTGTATTCCCTTCTCCTTGAGTGAGGACTGGACATGCAGATGGAAAGGGAAAAACAGAAACTCCGTAGTGGGGAATCCTGGCAGACACCACCTCAGGCAGCTGATCAAGATTACTATCTTGAGGGATAAGTCATGTACTGTGTAACTCCTGCTGTGATACAAGGAGAAAATACTTCACCTCTGTGCTATTCTTTCCTCAAATACATTAACCCCAGTCTAGTCATGAAAAACATCGGACAAACCCAAATTGAGGGACAGCCTACAGGCCATTTGACCTTCAAATTTGTCAAGGTCATGAAAAATGAGGAAAGCTGGGGAAATGGTCACACGTCAGAGACAGGACAGCTAAATCCAGAATTCACACCCTGGACTGGACTGAATCCTGGAACAACAACAGCAGCAAAGAGTCATTAGTGACAAATAGGTGAAACTTAAAGAAAGCCTAGTATTTTCATCGATAGCATTGTAGCAGTGTGAATGTCTTAGTTCTGGCAACTGCAGCATGGTGAAGTGAGATGTTAACCCTGGGGGAATCTGAGTGAAAGGTATATGTGAAGTCTGTGCACTATCTTTGTAATTTTTCCATAAACCTAAAATTACTGTAAACTAAAGAGTGAAAAAAAGTTTTACGTATCTAACCTTAGAGCAGAAGCGATCAAAATCCAAGCGTGCTGGGGAAACTGGCATCTGCAGCCCAGGGTCCCCGCTGAGTCTGTGAGTGCTCCAGAACCTGGCCGACCTTCTGCATGTTTTACCGCTCTCTCTCCCGACCCCCATCTCACTCCAGGAAAGCTCTGACTTTCCCTCCCTTCATGGTGTTTCTCATCAGCCATTTATTTTCTCATTCACTGCACATTTTTTGCGGCCTCTCTCTGTATCAGAGGTTTTAGAGCCAAGCACCCCACCCTTTGTTGGCCCAGCCGAGCTCCCTAGGCTGGATCACACCCCTCAGGCCTCCAAGTGCATGTGCGGTACCCAACCCTGACCCGTCCCCGACTAGGAAGCAGGAGGCCAATAAGAGAGACAAGTGGGGGGTCCAACCCTGCATAGGCTGCCTGGTGGAATCTGCTGTCCTCTGGACTCAGTCACCCCGTGGGATCTGTGGCCAGCCAAGCACTGTGAGCTGTGCTGGAAAATCCCCTCTGAGTGAAGCTGTGGCCTTAGGGACCTGGAGTGGGACCCAAGGGCCAGTTCCTGCTTGAGTGGCCACTGGACCCAGGGAGCCCACTCTGCTGCCCTAGAATCTGCAGCAACCTGATGAGGCCAGCATCTTTGCTTGTGAGGTTCAGGTGTGGGGAGGTGAGGAGGAAACAGAGAAGCTTGACACCCTACCCCCACGCCCCTCCACCCCCAGCCCCAGACGCAGCAGAGCAGGTGTGCCCTTGTTCAAAGGTGAAGTCTCAACCAGACTACAAAAATGTTTCGGAAGCAGGAGAGAAAGAAGAAAGAATTATGAAGCTACAGGAAGACAGCGCTTAGATGAAAATCACGACCCTTAGATGAAGATCAAAACTAAAGAGTAGTGATTACCACTGGGCCTAAACTGCCTTTCCTATTGCATCTCCTGCTCCCCACACTGCCAGCCCATAAACTTGGACAGCACCAGCCGTGCACTGCTTCTGAATACACCAGCCGGTGCCCTTGCCGGCCCCTCCACCTGGGGTCCCCTCCACCTGGGGTCCCCTACCCGAGTTCTCACCCAGGCAAGTCCCACTTGCTCTAGTTCTCAGGATTAGAACCAATGTCTTCCCTTCCATCACCAGTGCCCAAGACTATCCCTGTGTCCCCAAAAACCTCCAGCGCATGCTCAGGGCTCTTTGTTTTCAGAACTGCTGCCCCTCTGGACCTGAGCTGCTCCAGGACGGGAACCAGATCCTCCCTCCATTCTCCTCTGGGTCCCAGCACCCAGACAGTGTCTGGCATGGAGTGGGCACCCTACAAAATGGTTCTTGACCAAAAGAAACTAAGACAAGATCTCAAATGCAAGTGAAGATTAAGACATGAGGAAGGAAGTTTGAAGGAGCAAAGGCATGTAAGATTCAG